GGACGAGGACGAGGACGAGGACGAGGACGACATTGTAATGCAAGAGGACGGCGAGAGTGAAAGCGACTATGATAGTGATCAAGACGAAGTTCAGCATGAGTGGGAGGATCAGGTGGATCCCTTAGCTACCCCACCTGGTTCACCACCTGATTCGCCGCAGTTCCCCGACTCCACTACGGACCTTTAAGGTATGTGCCTCCCCTAGTGTGCTGCTCACCTCACCTGTAATCCCCACTCCACATTACGGTACTCCCACCATGTGCTGCCTACCTGCCCACCTGGCGGGGGCCGGGCGCACGCGCGCCAGTGTGCCGCAGACCCCCCTCCTCCCTCGCGGGGACCGCGGGGAGACGGGCGGCACCTTCTCCCCCCTCCGTCCGGCCCCTCCCTCCACGGGCTCGGGCGCGGGGATCGCGGGGGTCCCTCCCTCCTTCCCCACTCCCCTCACCCTCGCGGGCGCGGGGGCCGCGGGGAGACGGCCGGCACCTCTTCCCCCCCTCCCTCCCTCCCCACCACCCGACCCTGCCACGCATGGGCTCCAAGCGCGAGTCGCGAGCGCCGGGGAGGTAGACCACCCATCTAACACCTCCGCCACGCCCGCGTTCGGAGTGCGTTCGGACCCGTACGCCCTTTCTCCCCTCTCTAGGTGCGCGCGAGTGGGTTCAAAAAGAACAAGGATCGCGTCACGCTCATGTGCTGCTCCAATGCGTCGGGATTCCACCGGCTACCATTGCTCATGATTGGGAAATCTGCATTGCCGAGGTGCTGGAGGAACAGGAAGGACCTCACGACACTGCCAGTTGTCTACACCAACCAGCACAAGGCGTGGATGGACTCTATCATATTTTTGGACTGGTTTGGGACGGTGTTTGTGCCCGAAGTGCAACGGCGTCAAGCGGCGGATGGCATCACAGGTCCTGTCGTCCTGATTCTCGACAACGCTCCGTGCCACCCTGACGCCAGTATTCTAAATGACGTGGAACCAGGATTTTCCGTCATGTACATGCCGCCCAACTGCACCAGCCCAATACAACCGATAGACCAGGGGGCCATCGAGACCATGAAGCGGCTGTACCGAAGGGGACTCCTCGCAGAACTGCTTCTGAATGAGACCAACGACGGGCTGGACGTCACAAAGTTTCAGAAGAAGTTGACAGTCGACGACTGCAGCCGCCTCGCCTCCAAGGCCTGGAGTCAGGTCAAGGAAACCACCCTGGCCCGAGTGTGGCGAAAACTGTTGGGGGAGCAGCATGGGGAAGAGACACCCACCCCACCCTCGTCGCCCGACGGGATCCTGGAGCAGCTCGCGGCTGTCAACCCCGCCATCACACCCAGTGACATGACGGCTTGGCTGCAGGTGGACCATGCTGACCCTGGTCATGGTCTCATGACCGATGACGAAATCCTGCAGGCTGCCCGGCGAGAAGACGTAGAGGACGAGGAGGAGGTCGACGACCCATCCCCAACTTCCGCGGCTTCGCCCGCTGTCTCGGCGGCGGCGGCAGTAGTCACTGTAAGTCTCTGCGGTCACGTGCTTGAATTACCTTCGCACGTCATGGTCAACATATTTCATTAATTGGTCCATTCATTACAGGGTCCGTCAAAAGAGGAGGCACTGACTGGCTTTGACACGGTCGTAAAGTACCTGTCCACCAAATCAGACCAACAAAGTCAGTATTTACTTCGACAGTTTAATAAACTCTTTACTCCCTTGAACAATAATTAATGTAAACAGTTATTTGTACTTCAGAGAAAAATTATTGTTACGTTTTCTCTTACCATTTATTTGTACTGAAGAAAAGGATTATAGTTTAGTTTTTTGTTACTATTTTGTTTTTTTGACTCATCCAAATTAAATCTCATTCGCATCACCGCCATACACTAAACACTATTGCGCATTCATTTGCTTGTCCCTC